TATGACACCGGAAGTTTTGACGGATCCTGGCATGTGCGCGCGTCGACTTCGCATTTTTCTGCCAAGGGCTATTGCAAACGGATGCTTCCTTACAAACTAGCGCGAGCGCGTAATAGGTGGGGGCGGGGGGGTCGTTGCCAAATCCCCACGAGATGATCTGATTTCATGTGAACAGCGATGGGGCCGAATCGTGCGCAATTTGCACTATCCCAACTGGGGGGTCGATCACGCTGGGGGGTGGGAAGATGGTAGATCTTAGTTTCGTTTTGTGGCGGGGAACCTACTGGTGCAATCTATATTGCGCAATCTACGCGGTCCACTAGATTGTCAACTCCATTGCTCGCGCAAGCACCCCACCCGCCCACCCGCAACTATGTTTGCAAAGCCCCTGCTGCGGCGATTGCGATTACTGTATGGCGCTGGCTGGGGCATCGATGCGGCCTCGCTTGCGCGCGCAGGCTCGCGCGCAAAGCGGCCAGCGAGTTTGGCGCAACCGACGCGTCCGCGGTGGCGCTGACCGCTGGTGACGCCCCAGCACGTCTCGCAAGCCGCGCTGGCGCGCGGGCACTTCACTGCGAGTCGGTGACTCGGGCGGGCGCTGTATTATGGCGACGTCGACACCGGCAGACACGATGATGATCGTAGCGGTGCTGGCGACGATGATGACGATGGCAGCGGCAAGGCCAATGACGGCGCCGATGCCGATCACGCCGGTGACGATGATGTCGTCCACGCGTCGGCGGTGAAGGTTTCGGCAAGATTTCGACATGCGCGCGCGGCCGACGGGCGCGAGTGGCCCGCGTGGGATTCGTGGACTGGAACCGTGCTCCCCGAGCAGGCGCGAAGCAAAGCTCCAATGCTTTCAACCTGTGCGCGCGGGAGGCCCGATTGGTCGAAGTCGGTGAACGTGTTGAACAACAAGCGTATGATTGCCGCGCGGATTCGCAAGGGCGCGCGTGTACTTTTCTTGTTCGGGCAACAGTGCCGCGATTCTATTCGTTTGACTCTGTATTATATACACTACAGGCTGTGGAACCACGCGCGCGCCTCGCGCGCGCTGAGGTTCTAGCGCGGATCAGAATCACCCCCATCACCACCACCACCACCACCATCTTCATCATCACTGTCGTCACCATCATCAACACAATCGTCATCATCACCACCACCGTCATTATCGCCATCGCCATCGCCATCGTCATCGTCACTGTCCACCGCCGTCATCACCATCATCACCATTCTCATCGTCATCAGATCATCATCGTCCGTCTAGTCCAGTACCCTTCTCGTCCTTTTCTGTTTCTCATTATTCTCCCCCCAGTTTCTCCGTTTGATCTCTCCTGTCGACCTCTCCTCCTCCTCCTCCTCCTCCTCCTCCTCCTTCTCCTCCTCCCCATCCTCCTTTTCGACGCCGCCTTTTCGAAAATCCCTGCTCGTCCTCCTCGTGCTCCTCCCCCCTCTCCGCCCGCCTGTTTTTCCCGTCTCCTTAATATCACCCTCTTTCTCTTCATTTATCTCCTGTTGTTTTCTTCCCCCGTCTGATACTCCTAGTCTTGCGTTCTCCTCAGCCCCTCGTCCTCCGCAACCCTCCACGAACCCAAGAATCCGGACACCACCTGATGTTGCAACATCAGGTGGAAACCCGTTGTGCTGTACCTTTGGAGACTCTCTTGGTCGCTTGCGCCGTCCAGGGATCTCCGGGGCCATCTGGAGGTTAACTTATGCCGCAGTGGGGTTTGCTTGACCTGCTCGGCGCCTCAAGGTTCTCGTGGGAGCTATCCTGGGCCGTCTTGGAAAAGCACGAAGCTCTCCCGAGAAGTCCTCGTCGTCGCCGCCGCTGTCATCCTCATCGTCGGCGTCGTCGTCGCCGCCGTCATCGTCATCATCAACATCATCATGACCATCATAATCATCATCATCCTCATCCTCCTCATCATCATCATCATCATCATCATCATCATCACCATCATCATCATCAACGGCTTCGTCGTCGTCTTCATCGTCCTTATCGAAATTCTCAATATCGGTATCACCTCGATCACCGTCACCATCGCCGTCGTCATCACCATCAGCCTCATTCTCATTGTCGTCGTCATCATCGTCGCCTGTTCCATCATCATAAGTATCGGCAACGTCATCGGCATCGTCGCCCTCTTCATCACCATCATCATCAACATCCTCATGTTCCTCAGAACCGTCATCATCATCATTGCCATACTCGTTATCATCATCATCAACAATATGGTCGTCATCATCCTCATCATCACCGTCCTCGTCCCCATCATCATCGTCATCATCAGAAGCAGCAGAGTCCTCCTCATATCAACCCTCCTCACCATCATCACCATCGTCGTTATCATCATCACCATCATCATCAGCAACATGGTCGTCGTCATCATCACCATGATCATGCTCATGATCATCACCATTACCATCGCATGGGCCACGTCGTTCGTGGATGTCGCGTGGGACCACGTTCCGTGCGTCGAGGAGCCCTTTCTTGACAATGCGTGGTGGGTTGGATTGCCGTCGCCTGCAGGCGGGGTATCCGTTTACGTTGATTCCAGTGCTATCGCGCCATTGCTTTGGGTTGTGCTTAGTGCATCTGCCCTACTTCTTGCACGGGCATTGTGGGTTCAATGCCCCAGAGTCCATGGACCATGCGTGTATCTACGAGTTCGTAGAGCTTAGTCTGGTTGGTGGGGCATGGGATTTCTGCGCTTACATCTGTGTCCACTTGTCCAGGCGTCGTGGGACATCTTCACGGCGCACTCTGAGTAGGTTGTGACAGTGTGGCAATCCGCGCTTATGAAATTCGATCACGTATGTGTGCGCAAGCATCCTGCCGAGGATGTGCTTGGGAGGCCTAGCGTTGCGTGAGCCTCGGAAACCGCGCACCAGCCCCAGGCCTCTGATATCTTGAACTTCTCGCTGCGTGGTCCCTGGAAGTCCGGACCATTTCCCCCCAAACCAAACAAGTCTGAAGTCCCACAAGTGCACTCCTCCTCCTTCTACTCCTCCTCCTCCACGCCCGGGCGCCGCGAGCGGGGCGCGCAACACGGGCGGCCAGAGGGAGAAAGGAGGAGGATGGGAGGAGGGAAGGAGAAGGAGGGAGAAGGGAATACAACGAGGAGAGGGAAAGGAGGAGGAGGAGGAGGAGGAGGAGGAGGAAGCAGGAAGCAGGAGGAGGAGGAGGAGGAGGAGGAGGAGGAAGAGGGAGGAGGAGGAGGAGGAGGAGGAGGAGGAGGAGGAGGAGGAGGAGGAGGAGGAGGAGGAGGAGAGGGGGAGGAGGAGGAGGAGGAGGAGGAGGGGAGGAGGGAGGAGGAGGAGGAAGCAGGAGGAGGAGTGAGGAGGAAGAGGAGGAGGAGGAGGAGGAGGAGGAGGAGGAAGGAGGAGCAGGAGGAGGAGGAGGAGGAGGAGCGAGGAGGAGGAGGAGGATCAGGAAGAGGAGGAGGAGGAGGAGGAGGAGGAGGAGGAGGAGGAGGAGGAGAAGGAGGAGGAGGAGGAGGAGGAGGAGGAGGAGGAGGAGGAGGAGGAGGGAGGGGAGGAGGGAGGAGGAGGAGGAGGAGGAGGAGGAGGAGGAGGGCAGGAGGAGGAGGGAGGAGGAGGGGCAGGAGCAGGAGGAGGGAGGAGGAGGAGGGGGAGGAGGAGGAGGAGCGAGGAGGATGAGGAGGGGGAGGAGGGAGGAGGTGCGCTTCTCTTGCGGACGGGCGGGCCAGGTGCCCCGCGCCTCGCCCGAGCCAGGCGCCGGGCCGGGCGCACGCGGCGAGCAGAGGGGGCGGCCGATCGCGCGGGGGCACGTATCCGCTACCGTGCCCAGAAGAATAAGAACTACAATATGAATAAGCTAGTAATGGCGAAGAAGAACAACAACACTAGTAGTAATACTAATGAGTAAGAAGAGCACTACTAAGAATCATACGTCTACAAGTGATCTCACTACTCATAAGAATGACACCAACCATAATAATAGTAGTAGTAGTAGTAGTAGTAGTCGTAGTAGTAGTAGTAGTAGTAGTAGTAGTAGTAGTAGTAGTAGTAGTAGTCGTAGTAGTAGTAGTAGTAGTAGTACTACTACTACGACTACTACGGCGACTACTACTACTACTACTACTACTACTACTGCTGCTGCTGCTGCTACTACTACTACTACTGCTACTACTAAACTTACTACTACTACTACTACTACTACTACTACTACTACTACTACTACTACTACTACTACTACTACTACTACTACCACTACCACTACCACTACCACTACCACTACCACTACTACTACTACTACTACTACTACTACTACTACTACTACTACTACTACTACTACTACTACTACTACTACGACTACTACTACTACTACTACTACTACTACTACTACTACCACCAGCACACATAACATAGTACTAATCATAAGAAGACGACACACATGCACCAGCGTAACCTTTCGGAGGCCCTCGCCGATCTCTTGGATCGACGCCGAACCCCTGGTTCGCCTCGCGCGAGCCAGGGAGATGTGGGGATGGACACCAGTTCCGATCCCAGGAATGCGCGCGGGCCTCCGCCGTTTTCAAGTGCCTGCACGATGTGGGTGTACAGAGACCCGCAGACATAGTCTCTCAGGTTTTTCGGCGCTCTCGGCCTCCAGAGGCCCGCTTTCAGGGTGACGCCGCGGGACGAGGAGGCGCACTCGAGCCTCCAGAAGCCCGAAGCCAGCGAGTCCACGGAGGTCTGGGTTAGACCGCCAAGTGCTGCCTGGCAAGGCCCACGCGAGGCGTCTGGGAGCCCACCCCCCCGCTTCCCGCTCGCGCTTCCCTCCGTCGGCCACCCCCATTCGGCTACACGCAAGAGTGACCCTGGGTAAGAGTGACCTTTGGTGCGCGGCTTTTGGGGGGACGCGGGGGGGACCAAACTCAGGCGCGCAAGACGCTACCATCGCATTGCAATCGGTGATCGGGGGACCCCATTGTGCCCGCACCAAAGGTCACTCCGGCGAAAGGTCACTCTTACGTGTAGTCGATCCATCTGGAAGCGGGCAGCCAAGAACTCGCTGGCGAGCGTGGCTCGGCCGGCCACTCGGGGCGCCGTGGGCGAGCGCTCGCAGCCGCCACCCTACTCCGCCCCCAGGTCGCCGTCGTCCGTGGAGTCGTCGTCGTCGTCCTGGGCGCGGGGGAACCCGCGGCGCGCGGGCGTGACAGGCCCGGGCGGCGGGCACGAAGCGGCACGGCGCCACGTGCGGGCCGACACTCCCAGGGCGCCCCCTCCGCCGGCTATGCAAAGGAGTTGTGGGTGTCATGGCAATGGACATCCTGACAATCCTATCCTTGAGCTTCAAAAATGTGTTTCACACGTGGGGGAGCAATGTTCCAAAACTGTTCAAAACATGTTTTAACATGTATAAGACATGTCTCACACATTTTGAGACATCTGGAAATTATGTGGCACCATGCTTCCTCTCCAGTGATCGTCATGACAATGGCTGTGGGTGTCATGACAATGGACGTCCTGACAATCCGATCCCAGGGCTGAACCTAAGCGGTGTTTTTCGTTTTCGTTTGGTGTTTTCGTTTTCCCTCGTTTTGTCTTCAATCCGCCTTTGCCGCAAAACGAGGTCGAAACGAAAACGGCCCACGAAATCGCCAAAACACCGTTTGGGTCCACCCCTGTCCTATCCTTGAACTTTACAAGATGTGCTTCGCACGTGGGAGCAATGTTCTAAAACTGCTCAAGCCATTTGTAAACAACAAAAAACATGCTTAAGACACGTCTGACACATTTTGGGACATCTGGAAATGATGTGGCACCATGCTTCCTCTCCAGTGGTCGTCGTCCACAACGCAAGGGTGACCCTGGGCATGAGTGACCTTCAGTGCGCGGCTTTCGGGAGGCCGCGATGGGGGCCGTAAACAAGCGCGCCAGCCGCCGCTACAGCATCTCGCTCCGCGATCGGGGAGCACCCGCGGGCCCGCACTGAAGAGCACTCCGGCGAAGGGCCACTCTTACGCGTAGTCGGCTCTGGAGGGGCTGGATGAAAAACTGGACCCTGGTCGCCGGCCGAGGTGCCGAGGGACCCCGGCGGCCTCACGACACGTGTCCAGGGCTGCTCCAGGCTCCAGGGCTGCTCCAGCGCGTTCCGGAACTGTCGGAGGGGGGATTTGGGGGAAGGGTCCTTCGGGGATGCTGTGAGATGCTGGAAGGCTCCCGGGCCAGCATGGGGGGAGTCGTGCGGAATAGCTTTTGGTGTCTTGGGCTGGCCATCGCTCGGACGTTCACTTCCTGTGCCTTTTTTCGGTTCCGTGCGTGGTCTTTTCGCCAAATGGTCAAGGATGCTCCTCGATGGTCCTCGCCGAAGGAAAAATACGCACCGTCCGAGCGACGCCGCGTGGGCCTTCGGAAACTGCCAGAGGGTGCGGGGATGGGCATGAAGTTGGGCCTTCGGAAATTGCCAGAGGGTGCGGAGATGTGCCAGAGGGAAGAGGAGGAGGAGGAGGAGGAGGAGGAGGAGGAGGAGGAGGAGGAGGAGGAGGAGGAGGTGCCACGTGGGCCTTCGGAAATTGCCAGAGATTGCCCTCGGAAATGCCACGTGGGCGGGTGCGGGTGTGGCCTTCGGAGACTGCCAGGGTCTCGAGCGCGCGGCCGTGTGGGCGCTCCGGGTGCCAGGTCGAGGGCCCGGCACGTGCTCACGGCCAGCCTGAGAGGTGCGCCTCCCGGCTGCCCTCCACTCGCCTCCTCGGTGAGTGGAAGCGGCCGCGGCTTGGACGAGTGTCGCGGGGGGGGGGGGGGAAGAGGTATAAGAGCAATAGCCGAGAAGCAATCTCCTGGCAAGTCGAGTTCGAGAACCGCGACAGGAACTATGGGGACGCAAGACCTGTGGCGGCGGACGCGGAGCACAAGCTTCGCTCCTCACGCTTGCCCTCCATGATCTTCATCTGCTTCTCGACCTCCCTCTTGAACGCCTGGCGGAGGGCGACCACTGATCATGCTCGACGAGCTCGGGCGAATGGCACCGAAGAGGCACACCTCCAACGCCTCGGCGTCGGAGGTCAGCGCTCGCACGACCCTGTCTCTGCATGTGGTCCTGCACGTTGGTTCCGCCCTCCTCCGTCTCCTGCTCCTCCTCTACGGTGCCCGGACAAAAAAGTGTCCACACCGACGGCGTGAAGACAATCAGGTATAATGGCACCGACACTTGCAATATACATGTGACTCGCCCCCCCTCACCCCCAAACCCAAAGTTGAAGTGTCCATATTTTGCCCCCCGCGCGTTGCCTCGCACCCAACCCCGTCCTCCTCTCTCCCGGACGATCTGGAGAGCACGAGAGAGACCACCAAGGCAGGGGGGTACAGTCGGGGCGTTGACCTAAGGAACCCTAAGTAAGGAACGAGGCCCGTGTTTCCCACAAGTTCAACCTCGATTGACCTTCGAAAGCCTGAGGAAAGCCTGAGGCAGACCGTGAAACGATCAAGGAACCCCGAGCCCCTCCCCGACGAGAAGGGCTCCCTCTTCGGCGCCCCGACGGTAGTGCAGCTCGAGCCCGAGATGCTCACTCCGACGGTGTCCCAACCAACGGCTGCACACGACCACGGAGGGGATGCAGTACACGGCTGTGTCCCAACCAACGGCTGTGTCCCAACCTACCGGGATGCAGTACACGGAGGGTACGGCTGTACACGAGCACGGTGTCCCAACCAACGCCTGCACACGAGTACGGAGGGCATGCCGTGACAGTCCGCGCCGCACGTGCGCTGCCCAGAGGCGCGGAGGCCCGGGGGCCACGAGCTCCACCGGTCCTTGGTGCCGAGCGCACGGGCCGCAGGAGAGCTCCGGCTGCGCGCGCGAAGGCCTCGCCACCGCTCGGACGGCCATTTCCAGTATGTTTTTGGGTGTCGTGCGCGTTTTTTTTGCTGGATGGTTCAGGATGGTCCTCGATGGCTTTCGCCGAGAAAAAAATCACACGTCCGAGCGATGCCGAGAAGGCGGGCTGCTTTGCCGACGTGGCAACCGAGCCGAACAAAAACTAGCTGACCTGCCTCCGCTCGCGACAGTGGCAAAGCCGACGCATGCAACCTTTTTGGGGAGTAGCGAAAGGTAGGAGGGCGTCTCTCCGAGCTGGTACCGATGACGCATGATGTCCCAAGGTGTACCTGGCTGCATGGAAACGGAGGAAATGAAAGGCTTCTGATTTGTACGGGGGAAATTCAGATGGCAACCCCGACGCATCGACGACTCTATGATAATCGATAATATCTCGAATGCCCCCAAATGACCACACATAAAACGTAAACATCCAATCTCTGTACAGACCAATCAGCCGTCCACGTCCCCGCATCCCTACTACATTCAAACATTATGTACAGTCACCCGGGTAAAACATGAGCTTGGGTTTGGGGCTCGCTACTTTACCTATCATCGTGGCTGGGCCAACCCCTGCTGCCACGGATGCGGACAAACAATGGTTGTGTAGAGCAATGCTGAACAAGGCACTTCTACTCTTGCGGTGAGGTGAACTTCTGCGTCGAGGGAACGGCGGAGACAGCACTGACGAAGAAGGGTCATGGGACCAAATCTCTGTGAGCTTACAGCAATGGCCGACGGCAGTCTCCTGACCACTACCACATCCACCTCTCTGTATACACACATGGGATACTCACAACACAGGTCACACACCGGGGCCAATATTTGAGAACGCTTCAGACCAAATGGCGAGCCGATCCTTTGCCAAGTGGGCAGCGTGTGGAACACATTCCCGAACCGGGAGTTGGGAGCTGCTCCAGCCTCCCCACGTCTGGCCGGGGGCAAAAGCTGGGCCAGAAGATGGACGGGATGACTTGCCACCCTGCCATGACATACTCTCCTTTTCGCGGCCCCCAGAGGTAGCCTTAAGTCGGGCGTGTCCCTCTACGAGGGGATTTTCGACGAAAAATAAAACATATGGAAAAACGCTCCAAAGTGTGAAACAAATTAAAACATAGTCCCCATACTATTTTTGGACTATTTTTGAATACTCCTCCCGTAGAGGGGCAGGCCCGACTTAAAGGTAGCCCTGACTGGCCTCGGCAGGCCCAGGGCGGTCTCAGTGACCCCAGTGGTCCGCCGCGGGCTGCCCTCGAGGCCCGTCGAGGCCAGCCAGGACTGCCTCTGGATGCTGCCTGTGCGCAGCTTTCAGCTCCCTGGTCCACCTTGCGGAAACGGACCCCCAGGGACGCTGCCTGGAGGCTCCCCCGAGAAAAGGAGCAGCCAAAAGGTCCGTGCGTCCTCTTTGCGCTCCTCCGCGTGGGCCAGGTCATCCTCCATCTGCTTCCTCTGTGCCTCTGCCCACGCGTCTTCTTTGGCCTGCAGGACGGAAGGAGGGAGGAAGACGAGAATGCCGATGAGGAGGACGGGGAGGTGGTGGTGGTACTCAGCAGGTTGGTCAAAGCTGCAGCATATATTGAATGGTGGACACTCAGCACCCTGGCTGCCCCGGCGCTGTCCTCAATGCGAATCGCGGTACCCCCAGCAGCTGACGCCTAGCATTGAACACGCAACTAGATGGGAAAGGGAAGAGAAGGAGGAGATGCATCCGCCACCGCGCCTGCGCGAAAGTGGAGTGTTAGAATGCCTGTCTGTGGTCTGGCGGGATTACTGTCAACTTCTAAGGCGAACCTCCCCTCAACCCGACCGTGCTCCGAATGTTGCCCCCGCCAATTTTGCTCTCTGGCGCCCTGCTCGGCCTCCAGTAGGCTCTGGTAGACTCCCGGACTCGGCGGCGAGCGAGGGGGGGTAAGTAAAAAGGAGAAAACCTTCTCAGAAGGTTCGGAAGTCCACCGGCCTTCCGAGAAGTTTTCTCAGCCTTCCCCGGAGGCAGAACGACACCTTCCTAAAGGTGCGAGGGCTGTTGAGAAGTCCCGCCGCGTTCTGAGAAGGCATTATCCTTCCTGGGCGCCTGGTGGTTTTTGGGTCATAACTCGGCTCCCGAAATGCTGTTCGGGACGATCTGGGCACCCCGGAGACGCTCTCGGCGAGGCGCAGCCGCTGGAGCGCACCCCGAGGCTGGAAAACCGCCCAGAAGCGACGAACAAGTTCGACGACCTCGAACCTCGAGCCCGAAACTTCTCCCCCCCTCGCTCGCCGCCGACAAACTGCTCCAGGGCGCCTGGTGGAACGGAGCGAAACCGGTTCCGCCATGCGCGGCGGAGGGGGCGGCGAGGCGCCCGCTGGAGCCTATGCGCGTGTGACACACTGAAGCGCTGCAGGGGGACGAGGGGGAGGAGGAGGAGGAGGAGGAGGAGGAGGAGGAGGAGGAGGAGGAGGAGGAGGAGGAGGAGGAGGAGGAGGAGGAGGAGGAGGAGGATGGGGGAGAGGAGGAGGAGGGGAGGGGGAGGAGGAGGATGAGGAGGAGGAGGAGGAGGAGGAGGAGGAGGAGGAGGAGGAGGAGGAGGAGAGGAGGAGGAGGAGGAGGAGGAGGAGGAGGAGGGGAAGGAGGAGCAGGAGGAGGAGGAGGAGGAGGACGAGCAAAAGGAGGAGGAGGAGGAGGAGAAGAAGAAGGAGCAGGAGGAGAAGGAGCAGGAGGAGGAGGAGGAGGTGGAGCAGGAGGAGGAGCAGGAGGTGGAGGAGGAGGTGGAAGAGGAGGAGGAGGAGGAAGAGGAGGAGGAGGAGGAAGAGGTGGGGGAGGAGGGGGAGGAGGGGGAGGGGGAGGAGAAGGAGGAGGAGGAGGAGGAGGAGGAGGGGCAGGAGGAGGAGGAGGAGCAGGAGGAGGAGGAGGAGGTGGAGGAGGGGAAGAGGACGAGGATCAGGCCGAGGAGGGACGGCGGCAGTACCACTGCTGAATGTAAGTGTCCTGGAAACGTTCCCCGCCGGCGTGGTACCTGGCCAAGGACAGCCCACAGCCCAGCCAGCTCCCAGAGGCTGCAAGACCTTCCCAAGTTGCCCTGAGAGGCCCTGGATAGCCTCCCGCGGGCACTCAAGGAGATCTCCAGCGACGCCCGAAAAGATAAAACCCATAGAGCAAATATGGGAAACCAATATTTCGTGGTTCCGATTCTTTCCGCCCTGAGACCGCTTCGGGAAACCTTCAGAGTGGTTCAAAAAGCCCCCCAGCACGGCTCAAGAAGGTTCCCAGACAGCCTCAAAACAAACCCAGGATGGCCCGAGAACGAACCCCAGACGGCCCAAGACCGCTCCAACAGGGCTCCAGACGGCGCCGAGACTCCCGACGGGCTCCCAACGGGCCCCCAGCAAACCCCCGATTGCCCCGAGAAACATCCAAGAAGCCTCCAAGCTGAAATATGGCAGGGGAAACGAGGCTGCAGACCAGCAGAGACCAGCGCTAGTTCAGAACGGTGCGCTGCTGCGCTGGCGCGCAGGCGGGGCTTGCCGCGAGGATGTGGGGAAGAAACGTGCGAGGAAGTCTGAGAAGGATTCACAACACGAGCGGGCAACGACAGTGCATGCCAGGAGCATCGAGGCTCGTGATGCCTGGATGCGTCCGGACTAGTGTTCATTTCGCACCTATTTTGCAACTCGGTTGTTTGCCGCAATCGTATATATAGCAACATTCAACCCGAGATGCGCACTGTGACCTCGAGTTTTTGAGTATGAGCCATAGGCGGGCGATGAAGAGCTCTACGCGTGCCGCGCGGGCAGAAGAACAACGGCAACGGGGCGATGGAAGGACCGGCAGCTGCTGAAAACATCGCGCACGGATTGAGGCACGCTTCTGCGAAGGACCCCCACCTTGTCGGAACGCGCGCGTGGATCGGCAGTGCTCAGCCATCGCCTCTTCTTCGTGATCCGACCCCTGGCTGCCACCCTGGCATGGCTCGGTCCTGCTAATATCTTCCATTACTCCCGATGCTGCTGCCCCTGAAGCTGCCGATCCTTTTTCACAGCGTGCGAGGTGGCTGGAGGGCAGCCTAGGAGCACTCGTGCTGGGGCGAGGGAAAACAGCACGCGCGACAAGAGCGTGCACGCACGCGCGCGCTGCCTCCCTGCAGGGGCGAGGAGGAGCGAGGATGTGGCAGAGAAGAGGACCGAGGGGGAACGACACCGGCGCCCCCCCCCGCCCCCCGCCAATCCTTTACCCTCCACTCTTCCTCGTCGCATGCCGACCGCGACTCAACGTGCCAAACGCGCATCGACATCGGCTGCGACCATGTCAATCCTCGTCTGGGTTGGGGTCAAGGCCAACGTCATACATCACTAGACCATTATCACAAACCGAAACATGCTGGCTTGGCCAGAAATCGCTGGGTCCATGAAGCTTCTCCGTGTCGCTGCTGCACTGCGGGGCAATCGCTGAAATCACAATCACGGAATCAAACTTCGTCGTGTCCCCGTGGCAAATAGCACTGATCTCTTGTTCAGGGAAAGCGTAATACTGAACTCGGTGTACTTGTCTGGTTACTCCGATACTGCTGCGATTGATTCAGGCAGCACGAACCCAAAGACAAACATATCAAACACAGGATCCCAATTACCGATATCTTCAAACCGCACCGAGAGAAACGTAATGTGCTTGTCATGGAGAAGCGCTCCACATGAACATATTTGTGGTGATCAAGTCCAGATTCGTTGCGTTGGATTAGTATCGCTGGAACTAATCATCGACATAACCCTTCCTTAGACTGTGAGAGTGCTCCCGAAGCTCTACGACACGTTTGTTCCGCATTGCCTTCTCAGGTTCAGGATGTCTGAACTGCTGGAAATAAACACGGGTTAACCGATTTCGAATCGATGTTATAATCCAATCATTGCTCCCGCTTGGCAACGTTTCACCAAAACCCCGCGCACTTTAAAACTGATATGTTTCGAATCCTGGTGGGTACGATTCGCGTATTTCTTCTGCTGCTGTCAATTTCCGCGAATGGTTGCACTTGCCAAGTGCATACTGTTGGCTAGCTGAAGCCACTTTCCCGTAATTGAGAATCAAGATCTGCGAAGGAAACGAAGCACAAAACCCGGACAGAACTCCAACTGCATCACGCGCGTATTCTTCATTTGTTCGACTCGATAAATCTGCGGTTTCTGAAAGCGTCGCGCGCGAGAGCCAAGGATCGCCGAGCCAAACTTCAGCCAAACTGGATACGGAGCCCCTCAAGCTGCCGATCCTGCTGGCGCGTGCTGGTGGCCACGGGCTAGTCTTAGGACGCGACAACTCTGGCATACCAGTGGCAAGGGATAGTACGGACTAGTCTCAGGGGCTCTCGGGAACTGAGGCGCCTACTAGCAAGACAGGGTATTCCCGACAAGCTGGGATAGGGCCCAATGGTAATGGCCAGCGGTGGCTACTTGTAAGGGCTTGTCGGAACCCAGTCCCAAAGCGAAACGCCTACTCTTAAGAATATTTTGATTCTGGGCAAGACAGGTTGGGGAGACCAAAGTGGACTCGCGGGCAGGTCTGGTATGGTGATGGCAAGTCCTGTGGACCCTGGATGGCCCCAGAAGAATTTAACGCATTTGCGCAGCCATACTCCAAGCTACGTCATGAGTTGTGGTTCAGTTCCCAACTGTTGCGCAACAGTATGTGTTGTGATTCTTGGCGGGGGCACGCGTTATGTGAAACATGACCCATGCAAATACATACAACTACAAACATAAACTTTCACTCACATGCATCTACATATTTTGTATATGAATATACGTCCAAACATATGTATATACACATTATGTAGATTTTCTGTGTGCTTGTGATAAGCAGGGGCAGTGGGCCGGTCGGGGCTCGTCTGGGCCAGTGGCGGCCACCGTTGCCCATAGAAAAATGAAGTCGGGACCGCTCGGAGCAAGTGGCGGCCACTGGAAATCACTGCCGACCACTCCGAGCGGCCGATTATGACTGGCTGTGGCTGACGATGGCAAGCGGCCCGGCAGGTCTATTCGGGGCTAGTGGCTTCCAGTCGAATTCCCGACGAAATGCTGCATGTGCACACCCGGGGCAAGACACGGCAAGTGGCGGCCAACGGAAATCACAGCGACGCACGGCAAGCGGGGCTACGCTGAGCTGTTGTCGGCCAGCGGGATTTCCGAGGAATCATGGCAAGCAACCGCTTGCACTAATCCGGGCTGGTGGCGGGCCACAGATCTCCCGACGAAGCAGGGCGAGCAGCTCCTCGGGGCTCGATGTGGTGGACAGCCAAATTTCTGACGGACCACTGATAACGCCCAAGGGTGACAATCAGTGTTCCGAAGCTTGGGCTTCTCATACTCAAAGACACACGGCGCACAACGATTTTTCACGTTATCCGGCTCATGTACGATGTTCTTACTCGTGTGACCCTCATCTTTGTCAAACCCAACTTGCGCAGCCCAGCTGGGCCAACGTTCCTGCTCGCCTTCGGTCGGGCGTGTCCCCTACAGGCGGAGTTTGGAGGAAAAATGAAAAGTAGTCCAAACATCATCAAACATAGACAACAAATCATAAAAAACGTCACTGGACTATTTTTGGAATATCTTTGAATGTTCCTCCTGTAGAGGAACATGCTCCCGCCTTAAGGCTCGGCCTTGATATACCACCACGCCAGTCTCCCAGCCAATGCGCGTGCGAACGGGCCGGCACTTTGCCAGACGCGCGTGCGAGCGGCGCTCGAGTACAGCGAGAGCTCGACCACAAGAACCTTTCCACAAGAGACCCACCCTGAGACCCCAGGACGTCCATTGACTTTTGGCGCGGGAGCGTCGCGCTTCCCACAGCGAAGCCCTCGAAACCCAAGAACACCAGGGCACGCTGGAGGCAAGCAGGGTGTTTCTTGGCATGGGTCTCCACTGCACGTGTTTTTGGACGTTATCTGCTTTCTAAAGAAAAAAACTGCGCGAATTTTCCATGGCGAAACCATCGAAACCGAAGAAACCCAGGGCACCCTGGAGGGAAGCAGGGTGCTTCTTGGCATGGGCCTCCATGATCAGATCAAGTATGCAGCTGCGGTCGCCAAGCATGGTACAACAGGCACGCGGCAGGCGGCGGCGGCAAGATGCATGCACGGACGACCCGTATCCGCGATCCAGGCAACAATCGCTCAGGTGCTCCCCAAACCCACACACCGGCCGGAAGAAGTAGGTAGAAGCATGAAGCAGGATGGTGGGCAAATCGGGGATCTCTGAGATCCGGCGGCTCTGGAGGACGTCTCCCGCGCCGCGGCCGTCTCGGGGCATTCCAGAATGCTCCGAGAGCGTTCCGGGACGCTCTGGAGCGGACTTATCCTCGTCCTGGAGTGGGGGATTATCCTCGTCCTAGGGGGGGCTGTACACGCCGGTCGGAAAAAGTAGGTAAAAACATGAGGTAGGAAGGCGGATAAAATAGGTTGGGTTCAGGCCCTCCCAGAGTATAGTATAGCACAGCACAGCAGAAACATATCGATTCTTGAAATAAGGAGGCGCTTGGAGTAGATTGAGATCTGGGAATCAAGCAAAATTCATACGTTCAACGACCGGCGTGTACATGCTGAACATTGCCAGAAGGGCCACATGCTGGGGGTCAATCTACCTGTTGGTGGTATGGACTGCGTGGCCGGGACGGACGGCGCTGAGCAGAACCAGGAGTTTCCCATGCCCCCACGTGGATTACCCCCTCTCCCTCGTTGAGTGTTCCTCTTCTTGCTCCCCCGCCCTCTCGCCTTCGTCGCCCTCCTGCGCCTCTTCCACTTTCTCCTGCTTCCTCTTCCTGCTCCTGCCTCTTCTCCTGCAAAGCCCCGCAGAGGTCACCCCCGAGCGTCCCTTTGCCCTCTGTTAGGGCCCCGTCGCCCTTGTGAAGAAACGACCCATGGCGAGCGGCTTTGGCCTAAGCGGTACGACGCACTCTTCCTGCTCTTCGTCCTCCCTCTCCATGTCCTCTTCCCCGAGCGCGGCCGCGGTTCTCCCCACCTTCCTCCCTCCTCCCTCCTCCTCGTCTTCCTGTTGCTCCTCCTCCTCCTCCTCCTCCTCCTCCTCCTCCTCCTCCTCCCCTCTTCCTCCTCCTCCCTCTCCTCCTGCTCCTCCTCCTCCTCCTCCTCCTCCGCCTCCTCCTCCCCTCCTCCTCCTCCTCCCCCTCCTCCTCCTCATACTCCTCCTCCTCCTCCTCCTCCTCCTCCTACTACTACTACTACTCCTGCTGCCCGTCGCCGCTCCTATCCCTGGGCCGACCCGAGGCGGCGGCCTTCACTTTGTCTACCTCCGCCTGCGGCAAGTACCGGATCTTGCGAGTGGGCAGCCCGGTCCTGTTGTGCTTCTTATGCTTCCTGCCGGGATATCGGCCCGCTTCGGCGCGAGGCGGGCGCCGCGCCCCCCGTCTGCTCGTACATACTAGCGACCGTCAGAGGAGTCACCCCGGGAGCGAGCTGGTCCTGACGGGGGCACGCAGACGTGGATTAGCGGTCCATGGATTTGGCGCGCGGTCGCCAAATCCGTGGATCGGGGGAGGTGCCCTCCCCAAAATGCGGCCGGTGCCGCCTCGCTCGGCGGCGGGAGTCCGCGATTTCCCATGGAAAGGGGACCCGTCGCTAATCCACGCCCCCTTGATCCATGCCTGCGGTCGCCTGATCCTGGGGGAAGGCCCCCCGGGGGCTTTCCCCCAGGACCAGCTCTTCATCCCGAGTTGTTTGCTGGCAGCCCTGGGGCCCGCGGATGGCCCCCCCGGGGGCCTGAAAGCGGCGAAAAGCCTCCGGGCCCGTTTCCCTCAGGACCCGCTTCCCTCAGGTCGGGCATGTCCTCGTACAGGCGGATTTTCAACGAGAAATACCAAATAGTCGAACAATAATCTCCAAAGAATCAAAATAATAGAAACATCGTCCCCACGTAACTTCTTGACTATGCTTGAATATTCCTCCTGCGAAGGGACGTGCCCGACTTCACGCGTCCCCCAGGGCGAATCAAGAGGGAGAGGCTGCACGCCTTCCAGATTCGTCGAGGAGCTGATGCAGCAACAGCAAGAAGTCCTCCGCGCCTGCCCCGCCCCCCCCCCCGGCTGGGGGTGCGCAGGGGCCGCCGCGAGAGGCTCGAGCGCCTGGGACTTCGAGGCGTTGTCGAGGCCTCCGACGTCGGCCGTGGCCGTCGGCAGCTCGCCTTTGAAAGCGAGCGCCCGTCCACGGGTCGAGTTACAACCGAAAATAAAACCTGGGAAACCATCACATAAGAAACCTGGGCCAGCTTTCCAGAAGGTTCTTCGACCTAACCTGAGCCAACTGTTTATCTCGCGCTGGAGGGGCGAACGTGCTTAAGAAACTGGGCCAACTTTCCGGCAAACTGGTTGAGAAACGCTGCCCCAATTGTTCGGGGGAAAATTCTTAGTCATATGCTCGACCGTATGTTGTCGGGGGACCTTGTCAATCCTGTCGCGCCCCTATCCGCGTCGAATCCAGCCATGTTGGGCTCGTCGAATTCGCGTCGGATCCACGTCGAATCCGCGTCGGATCCACGCCCGATCCGCGCCGAGTCCGCATCGAGCCCGTGTCGGGCACAATAACAATCGCCAACTTTAGGGACAGACGAGAGCCCCCCCGAAAGCGCAACGCAAGTCGAAGGCTCCAGCCAGTGCACCCATTCTGGTGTCGAGAAAATGCCACGCCTGCTGCGCCCTGCGAGCATGCAACGGATAGAGACCGCACCCCCTGCGCAACCCCTCTGTTGTCGAGACGCCTGCCACGCCCTGCGATTGTGCGTATGTGCTGTGTGGTGTGCGTATTTCGAGGATTCCAATTGAGGTTAGGACATGGATATCACCTTCGCCCTCATCAGATAAGGAATCCTTCAGGGTCTGAAGCCTCCTACGCGCATTGCTTAACGACCGCCCCCACCGTACCGACCTTACCCCGCGGCTTACGTGGGCCGCCAACGCGGTACGCTACGTTTGAAGCGAGGGCGCTTACGTGCCACCGCCTTGCGTAGGCAACTTGCGGGCGAATATCAAAACAGACGACCCCGTTTTGTTCCAGCATTCAGATCGGAGTTGGATAGAGGCCGCACCCTGCTAAGTCGACTACCTCAGGTTCGTGTCGTGTCGACCCAAACGTTGGTTCCTGACACGGCGGGGATCGTTCAACCATGAACGATCGGCTGTTTCCGAAATGTCACATCGTTCAACATCGACCGATTCTGGGTCGCTGGCGGCGTTCAACCTTGAACGCCGGGGGCGGGGTCGCCGCCAGTCGGCACGACGCGAAGCCATCGTACGGAAGTTTTTTTTCGGCTCCGCGGCGCCCTGGGGGGAGCCTGGGGGGAAGTTGGAAGGGGCGGGCCTTCGCAGAAGGCTCGGAAGTTCTCGGGCCTTCTGGAAATGTTTTCTCTAAGCCTTTCTCGCTGACGCAGAAAACTTCTCAGAAGGCCGGGGGGCTTCTGAGAAACCCCACCGCCTTCTGAGAAGGCCTTCTCCTTCTCCCTTACCCCCCTCGCTCGGGTATCTACTGACCCAGGTCAATAAAAATCCGGGTCAGTCCGGCTTTGCAAAACCCTGCAACACCCTACAGGATCCTGCGCTGAAGCCCGGGTCAATGTAACCCTGGCTCTGCAGGATCCTGCAAGATCCGGCGCTCTGACTGACCCACGTTTGCATTGGAGGAGGAGGAGGAGGGAGAAGAAGAAGAAGAAGAAGAAGAAGAAGAAGAGGAGGAGGACGAAGAGGAGGAGAAGGAGGAGGAGGACGAGGAGGACTGTCCTCTCTCCCCAGGAGCCCCAACTTCAGAGCCAGATGCCACAAAACAGGTAACATCTGCCCTTATCCGACGGGATCATCACTTTACTCATCTTGCCCCCCAAACCAATACAGATGGCCTGTCGCTTTCTTCTCTGGAAGCATTGTTTCCATTCAGGGTCTGCTTGATCGTCTGTCGCCCGCTGCCCTATGGAGGGGATGGGCGACCACGACGATCGCACCAGGCCGCCGAGGCTTTTGGGAGCAACCCCGCCGCGCCTGTTTTCGATCCTCCTTGCAATGGCCGCCTCCCGCTCCGCCGTCTCGTTGTATCCATTGGCTTCCCTCATCTCCTGCGCGGCGTGGTGGTGGCCGTGCGCGCGGGATGCGCGAGAGAAGAGGCTATGGGGGGCAAACAGGGATCAGCGGCATCACGGGCGGACAGAGACGGCATAGCGAGGCGGGCACAGAGGAGGTGAAGGATAAGAAGGGGAGGGGAGTGGGCATCGGGCGGAGGGGGAGGAGCAGGAGGCTGAACTGGAGTAGCGAGCGCAATCGGAGAGTTCGGAGGATACATGCGCCGAAGTGCGGGCTGGGGGGGCGGGGGCGCCCAGCAGTCGCAGGTGGGCAGGGGAGCGGGGGGGGTGGAGTCGGAGCCCTGTGGCCCACTGGCGCTCGCTGTGGACGCCACGCCGTCCCTCTGCGCAGCCTGATAAATGCTGACTGCTGGCGAACGTCGCATCAGATAGTTCGGGAGGGCTGTACCCCCTCCTCACGCCTCCTCCTCCTCCTCCTTTTCCTTCGCTTCCTCCTCATCTTCCTCCTCTTCCTCTTTCTGCTGCTCCTCCTCCTCCTCAACTTCCTGGGGATCGGGCCAACATATCCCTGACGACAGGGCCCAGAATACACCCACTGGGTGCCGGAGCCACTGGAAGCCTACCGCGGTCAGGAAGGCACTCCAGTCCCCAACCCGCTGCCAGCAACCACGATGAGGGCCGCACCCAGCCCGCGAAGTAACGCGCCGACATCCTCAGCCTGCAGCCCGCTGGCCTCCCCCGCGACAAGGCCCGTCCTGGGGCGATCTCGAAGGTCCCTTGGGCCGTCTGGGACGTTTTCGTGAACGCCCGAGAGGCGAACGTGCTAAACATACACGCTTTCGCGAAAAGGAATGGCGAAGAGCAGCCGCGCGCCGCCGCCTCCCCGGGGGGGGCCTCCCCCGCAGAGGGCTGCCGCGTGGACCCTCGAGGGACGCACGGTCGAAGGCCCCATCGGGGGCGCGTCCAGGAGGGAGGCGTCCAAGAGTGGGGTTCGCAAATCATGGCCCGAAGCACGTGCGCAGCCCAGGGGGGAAGGCAGGAGACGTGTTAAAAGAAGAGTGCTAATAATGAAAACGCTACTAACCGAATTGAAAACCATAAGAAGAAACCGAATCATAGTAGCAACACTAACATTACTAATAATATTTCTGATGTTGCCACGAATGATCTTGTTACTACAAATTAGCCATGCAACGCAAGTCGTACGAATAGAAATGTGAAGGACACGCAACATAGTGAGAACGATCAACTAACAACCACTAAGATTAGTGATGTCGCAGTAACAATAAAGGTATCAATACATACCAATGCTGCCACTAAGCAAACTGATACTAATGATCATGACAAAACAAATACTAGTAACTATGACAATACGCATGACCGTACCAATGTCACACATAATAGTAGTAGTAGTAGTAGTAGTAGTAGTAGTAGTAGTAGTAGTAGTAGTAGTAGTAGTAGTAGTAGTAGTAGTCGTAGTCGTAGTCGTAGTCGTAGTCGTAGTCGTAGTCGTAGTCGTAGTCGTAGTCGTAGTCATAGTCGTAGTCGTAGTAGTAGTCGTAGTAGTAGTAGTAGTAGTAGTAGTAGTAGTAGTAGTAGTAGTAGTAGTAGTAGTTATACGACTAAAACAATACTACAAACCATAAGTATACGAAACATCCTACTCATACTACGAAGAGGAATGACAATGAGAGGCGCCATGAAATCTGGGATGTGCCGTGGCCCTGGCCATGAGATCCGCCCTTCCCAATCGCCGGCCGCCCCCGAACCTCCAGAGCAGCATGGGGGAAATAGGTCCTGAGGTAAACGGTCCTCGGCCTGGGGGTCTTCTCCTAGCACCACTCGTTCATCCTAATAATTTGTCTGACAGTTCTGGGGCCAAGGGAGGGCCCCGAGAGCCCGAAACCGGCGAAAAACCTCAGGACCCGCTTCCCCCATGGCGACAGACCCTGAGATCCGACGTCGCCAAAAAGTGCAATCGCAAAACGTCGCGACCCGAGCCTCGGACCCCATGTTCCTGCGTCATTCTTCGAGCCAGATCGATCTGTTAGGGGGTCCCAGGGCCCTAAGCTGATCGAAACCGCCGGTTATGAAAAACTGCAATGCCAATGCGCCGCGCCCCCCCCCCCCCACAGCCCCGCGGCCAAGGCCAAAAAGTAGGTCGGGCATGTCCCCCTACGGCGGGATTTTGAACGACACGACAAATGCACCATAGTCAAACGATGCCCCAACATAGTCAACAAAATAATCAAACCATCGCCCCTGACTATTTTTTGATTATTTTTGAATATTCCCAAAACAAAAAAACATAGTCAAACAATGCCAAACGAATCAAACATAGTCAAACAATGCAAAACAAACCATCGTCAAACAAAACGTAGTCAAACGATGCCCCAACTAGTCAACAAAATAATCAAAATATAGTCAAAAGATGCCCCAACATAGTCAAACAGAAATCAGAACATCGCCCTTGATCATTTTTTGATTACCTAACAGCTTTTGCTGATAGGTTTCTAGTAAGGTCAAAAGAGAGCATCTGGACTCCACAGGAGGGTCTGGGCGGGTGCCGGGGAGGAGAACCGGGAATCGTTTTTCGCCAACAGTCACACACTTCGTGCTCTTCGACCTCCCAAAACTCCATTCCCGGGACACATTCTGGAGAACCGGGAACAGAGCCGGGCTCGCTTTTCGCCAACAGTCACACACTTCGTGCTCTTCGACCTCCCAACACTCCATTCCCGGGCCACTTTCTGGAGAACCGGGAACAGAGCCAGGCTCGTTTCTTGTCAACAGTCACACACTTCGTGCTCTTCGACCTCCCAGAACTCCATTCCCGGGCTACATTTTGAGTGCCCGGAGCCAACTGTAGGCCACTTCGTGCTCTTCGAGATCCCAGAACTCCATTCCCGGGCCACATTTTGGATGCCCGGAGCCAACTGTAGGCCACTTCGTGCTCTTCGATTTCCCAGAACTCCATTCCCGGGCCACATTTTGGATGCCCGGAGCCAACTGTAGGCCACTTCGTGCTCTTCGAGTTCCCAGAACTCCATTCCTGGGCATGATTTTGAATGCCCGGAGCCAACTGTAGGCCACTTCGTGTTCTTCTAGTTCCCAGAACTCCATTCCTGGGCCACATTTTGAATGCTGAGGCAGGCTGATGCTGCGGCCGAGGCAGGCTGAGGCTGAGGCAGGCTGAGGCTGAGGCCGAGGCTGAAGGCAGACTGAGGCTGAGGCTGAAGCAGACTGAGGCTGAGGCTGAGGCAGGCTGAGGCTGAGGCTGAGGCAGGCTGAGCTGAGGCAGGCTGAGGCTGAGGCTGAGGCTGATGCAGGCTGAGGCTGAGGCAGGCTGAGGCTGAGCCGAGGCTGAAGAGAGGCTGAGGCACTGAGGCTGAGGCTGAGGCAGGCTGAGGCTGAGGCAGGCTGAGGCTGAGGCTGAGGCAGGCTGAGGCTGAGGCTGTGACTGCGACTGCCGTTGCCGCTGCGACTGTCATCGCGAATGCGACTATGACTGCGAGAACAGCAGAATTTTACAACTGGATTTTCATCTGAATCTTAAGGGGGATGCTTTCAAATATGCTTCTACATATCGCTGTTAGGTTGCTTTGCCGGGATAATTATTTTTGTGCATTCCCATGGTAAAAAACATGCCCGACCTAAGCCCAAAACTTGCCGCCGAAGCGCGCAGCACGCTCGGGCGCCGCCCGCCCCGCCGAGTCCGGGGCGGCTGCCGGTCCGCCCACGCCGCCGCTGCGACCAGCGGCACGCCCGCCGGCCCGCCGCGACCGCCGCGCCGAAACGCGCGCGCCGTGGCGCCTCTGCCGCTCCCCCCTCCTCCTCCTCCTCCTCCTCCTCCTCCTCCTCCTCCTCCTCCTCCTCCTCCTCTCCTCCTCCTCCCCCTCTCCCCTCCTCCCTCTCCTCTCCTCTCCTCCTCCTCCTCCCTCCTCCTCCCTCCTCCTCCCTCCTCCCTCCTCTCCTCTCCCCTTACATTCTCCACCTCCTTCCTCCTCCTCCTCATCCCCTCCTCCCCTCCTCCCTCCTCCCCCTCCTCCCCTCCACCTCCTCCTCCCACTCCTTCCTCCTCCTCTCTCCTCCTCCCTCCTCCTCCCGCCCTTCTCCTCCTCCTCCTCCCCCTCTCTACCTCCTCCTCCTCTCCTCCTCCTCCTCCTCCTCCTCCTCGTCCTCCTCCTCCTCCTCCTCCTTCCTCCTCCCCCCCGCCGAAGGAGAGCTCGGGCGCCGCCTCCCCAGATCCCCTCGCGCGGTGGAAAAAGCGGAGGCGGTTCGCCATTTTCGGCCTCCGCGGGCCTTTCCTGTTTGGACGCCCGAAATGGGTACGGAAAAAATGGGTACAATGCCCAACAACAAATGCTGTCCCAAACCAACAGCGGCCGCTGTTGGGCCGGGCAGCCTTCTGTCTCAAATGGACACAGGCCGCGGCGGCGCGGACAGGGAATCCTGTTCAAAATGAACAGGAACTGCTGTTTGGACATCGTACCCATTCTTTCCGTACCCATTTCGGGCGTCCAGATCCTGGGCCTCGGGGCCGTCAGACAACGAGTCAGGACGAAAAGCCAGGTCCCTGGAAAAGGGGTGCAGACATCTGGGGGTCGACGTTGCGACAGAATCACGACGTCGGGGGTCTGGGTCTGCCCCCCCCCCTCCCGAAGGAGAGCTCGGGCGCCGCCTCTCTGCCTCCCCCCTCCCCGTGGGCCCCGCTGCCTCGCTGCCCTCGGCGCAGGACGTCGGCTCGCCGCCCGAGTCGTTCGGCGCGTCTTCGGTCGGGCTTTTTTGTTGGATGGCGCGTTGACGCGGCGGCCCTGGCGACTCGCCATGTGTCATCATCCACATGCTGTTCCCATGCAAGATCGCGCGGCCCGCTGCCAACAACGCGGCCTGCTCTGTACGGGATGTGCTTCGCCTAGATGGCCGCGACCCAACTCCGCCGCGTATCAGAGACAGCGCGTCGCCGATGATCCAGAACGCGAAGCCCGATGGTGTCTCACCGCTCACTCGCTTCGGGCAGACGCGACTTCGACGCGGCCGCGCAGACGGAGGAACGCATTGCGGATGATGCGCTGTTCGAGTCATGGGACGCTCGAGATCATGCGGCCAATGCCCTCGGGGACGTCGGGGGCCTTTTCTACTTATCAGTCCGTGGAGTGCGCTGGACGCTCGAGCACCTCGGGGTCGCGTGCGATGCCAACCGCGGGCATGCGGAGCAGGGCCCGCGTCAGACTTCTGCGGGGCCACGAGGATGCAGCGCATAACGCGGAGACATGCACCGACGACGTGGCCAGCAGCATCGTGAACTTCTGGCGCGCCAGAATGAAACTTTCTTCCGCCGATGGCTTTGCAACGACGGTGCGGCCACAGACTGGGCCCAGGAGGCCCGGTCACTCGTGGAGCCCTCGCGCCCTGGAGCAGAGGAGGAACACGCTCCCCCATCTTGCCGAAGCGCAGCCTCCGGGGGCCTCCGGGGGCCCCCAGGGGCCCCCGGAGGCCTCCGAAAACACCGCGCTTTCGACGGCGACGGCGACGGCGGCGGCGACATCTGGAAGCCTCCGTGGAACTCCGCGGCCAAATGCGGGTCTCCGGAGGCTCCCCGGAGGCTCACAGTGGCCGCGTCTCGGATACAGCTGCAAACCCAACTCGGCCGCCCAGGTGCACGGGCCCGCGGGGCTCGCAGGATGCCCTCGCGGCGCAGGACAGTGCGCAGGCTTCGCGCCGATCGCGTAGGCTCGGCGATGTGCTGGTGCTTGCGGAAGGCCCCAGGGGTAGCGGGACCCTTCAGAAGGCCTGACGGGGGGTCGCCCGCGCTCCGGTTCGGTGCCGTGGGACGCTGGGAGGTCTGGGGTCTGGGGCGTTCCTGGAGGCTCTGGCGGGCTCTCCGAGTCTTGACGGCCGCATTGGGAGGGACTGCTCGGAGGCCATTGGAATTCCCGTGGCGGTCTGGGTGGGTCTCGAGGGGCCTGGGAGGCTGGGGGCGACGTGGAGGCAGCTGGTCGGAGGCTCCAGGGAGTCCGGCGGCTGGGCGTGCTCGCTATACATACATATATTCACAATGTACATATATATATATACAACTATGCATGGATGAGATTTAAAATTATTTGTTGAATCGAATTTGTGAATAGTTTTTAGACTTGTTTTTGGATTTCGTTCCGGCGGCCCCCGAGGGCAGTTTTTGCATGAAGCCTGGGGCGCCTTCGGGGGCGGCTTTTGGATGAATCCTGGGGTGGCCCCAGGTAGGATCAATCCCAAGGGCCCACTGTCGGCTGCTGTGGGCCGCTGCTCGTGGTCGTGCTCGAGACCCCGCGCGCTGTGGCCCGCGCGGTGGCCCCGCTCGAATCCCCCTGCATATCATCCTCGTCCCTCCTTGTCCTCCTCCCTCGTCGTCCTCCTCCCTCCTCGTCCTCCTCGTCCTGCTCCGTCGTCGGTTTCCGTCCTCCTCGAACTCCTCCGTCGTGTCCTACTCTTCCTCCTCCTCCCTGCTCGTCCTCCTCCCTCTTCGTCCTCCTCCATCGTCATCCTCCTCCCGCGTCGTCCTTTTCCTTCACCCTTCCTGTCGGATTTTTTATCTGGGACGCCACCGATATCTGTTCTACCTCATTGCCGCACCACTTCTCCTCCCCAGCTCCTGCTTTCCGTGAAACTAAGTCTTCGGTAATTTTCGGGATCTCCTGGCCGTCATCCTGCATCCTGCTCCGTCCTCTGGCACCTTCTCCTTTCTCCTCCTCCGGGATTTGTGCGGACTTTGGCTCTGCGTCAGGGCGGTGCAGCTGGCCGCTGCGTGCACGGCTCTGGGCGGCTCTCGGGGCGGCGCGCTCACGGGTTGGGCGCGCGCGCGGAAGCTATCGCCAACCATGCATCCGCTGTCTAGGATTCTCGCTACTTGCTCGCTTTGTTGGCAGCTCTGGCCCTTCTGCTGAGTGTCTATGATGCTCTCTACTTGCTCGCTTTGTTGGCAGCTCTGGCCTTGGGACAGAGTGGCTGCGGTCCTTCCTCCTCCCGGCCCATCTGCTGCTCCTGCGCCTGCGGCCGCTCCTTGTCATCCAGCTCGAGCCAGAGTCCATGCCCTCGCCACCTCCTGGGGGGATGCCTGGGTCGCCGCATCGCCATCGTGCCCCCGACAGCATTTAGGACGCTTCTTGCTGCTCTACAGGCTAGGAGAGGGCCTTGGCACTAGTCCCCAAGCTCTCATGTGGTCTTCTTAATGTGTGTCGGAGCCCCATCACAGCTGAATGTTCCCAACGCCGTGCGCAACGCTGGGAGCTGGTCCTGAAGTGTGGGACGGAGTGTGTAGTTTGGCTGACTAGACTGCCCCAGCCTGCGCCGAGAGTTGCCCAAGCTGGCGGTTGACCGCGGTGCTATCTGGACCGTCCTGAGAGCCCACGCTGGATGCCGCCAGGGCGTGCAGCTGAAGAAGGGCTGCTGGTTCAAATTCGCAAGCGGCAGGTAGCCGAGCATCAAGAAAGGAGCGCCGAGGACAAGCTACAAAAACCACCGTGTTCGCATGCCAACGGTGCACCACGCTCACCACCCTTTATTGTTTCACGTCCACGCCAGACGTGATGAGATGTGGCTGCCCCTGCCGTTGCTGGCCAAGCTGCGCCCCTACCCGCGGCTCAACGCCGCGAACGAGCCGGCAGGTGAGCCGCAACACCGCGCGCGGGCACAGCTACGGCTGACCTCCGACGGCGGAGCGACGGACTCTCAGGAACCATGCTTCCCCCGCTTCTCTCCCCCTTTCCAGGCACGCTGACCTCTGCGCCAGCCTCACGCCCGAGCCCTGGTCGGCGCTTCCTCGCAGACGACGCGGCTCTCCTCCTCCTCCTCCTCCTCCGACTCCTCCGCCTCCTCCTCCTCCGCCTCCGCCTCCTCCTCCTCCTCCTGCTCCTCCTCCTCCTCCTCCTCCTCCTCCTCCTCCTCCTCCTCCAGGGACGGCGCCTCTCCCCGAGCAGTCAGAACGGTCCCCTGTCCTCTTCGCAGCCCCTCCCCGCGATCCCGCCGCCCGCTGCTGCTGCTGCTGCTGCTGCTGCTGCTGATGCTGCTGCTGCTGCTGCTCGACCTCCTCGCCTGGAGCATACAATAGGGGGGGGCTCGACCACAAGAAACCTCCCACAAGAACCCAACCCTGGAACCCCAGGGCGTATATTGATTTTTGGTATGGGAGCGTCACGTGCTCCATAGCAAAGCCATCGAAACCCAAGAAGCCCAGGGCACCCTGGAGGCAAGCAGGGTGTTTCTTGGCATGGGATTCCACTATACGCACCCCCCATCTAGAAGAAGGCAACACCGGCGTGACCATACACTTTCGGAGGTCCGCGCGGATTTCTTGGATCGGTGCTGGACCCCCTTCCTGGCGCGCGGAGCGGCGCTGGAGGCGCCGCCAGGGGGGAGGGGCCCGGGCGCCAGCCCAAGAAATCCGCGCGCAGCCCCGGACGTTTATGCTCATGCGGTTTGTCCTTCTTCGACCCTCGCCCGCACCATGCTCGTGCCTCCCCGGGCATGGCGCCGTCGTCCTCGATGCGCTTCGACCACATGTCCTTCAGCTCCTGCACCCTGGACGCCCCCTCGGCGGGGATCCACTTCTTCTCCAGCGGGTCCCAGTGCCCGGTCTTGGGCTTCGGCTTCGGCTGGGCGGGGCGCGGGGCGCCGAGGGGAGGCCAGAGAGGCGGGGCTCGACCGAATCTTTTTCATCCCGTGCGTGGTGACTGCAGCGCAATCGGCTGGCAACGAAACGCTACCCACTGGCCTGTGTGGCAACAGGCGCCTCGGAGACGGATGCACGGCGTGATATCGACCAGCTAGCGAGTATCACAGCATCTTCGCCGCACCTGGGATGCATACCCTTGAGGTAACGCCTCCGCCTGTGCCGCGCTGCAGCGCTCATCTCCCACCCAGGGAGGGCTCGACGGAATCGCGAAATCGGATCGGTTCGGAAACGGACTGGGCCGCCAACAAGTCGTCCCGCATCGGGTCGAAATCGAGTCGCCGTGCCTGTCTCTGGCCGGCCTTGGCCGATGCCGGCGAACCAAAGCAAATCCGCTGACCCCCGCTTGCCTAGGGTGCAAAGGCGTGTGAAGTGATTGGCTGTCCCCCTCCCCCTTTCATTCCCCGTCCCCTGGGTCCAAACTCCTGTTAGATGGGGGAGGGCCTGGGGGGGAGCCCCCAGGGGGGTACGAGCTCCCCTGCGTAACCCCGGAGCCTCCAGAGCCTTCAAATCTACACTCCGAGGCCTGCATGATGCACAGGATTTCATGGAGGCTGATTCAAGCTGGGCTCCACCATGCGAGGGCGCGTCAAATTCATTAACAATCGGCATCAAGACAGCCAAACTGCTTGCCAAGACGCCCCCAAAGCTCTCCTAGAGGAGCCACGGGAGGGCCCTAAGAGGCAACATCGCCCCAATCCCTTAGGAAAACGTGTATAGATATATGTGGAGAGAGAGAGAGAGAGAGAAAAAAAAAAACTGAGAGAGAGAGAGAGAGAGAGAGAGAGAGAAAGAGAGAGAAAGAGAGAAAGAGAGAGAGAGAGAGAGCGAGCGATATATACATATATATATATACATATATATATATATATATATATATATATATATATGTTTATATAGAGAGATATTTACGAGTTTGGCTGTCAAAGCGTCCAGGACGGCCCAGAAGGTCAGAAAGTCATTCGAAAAATTGCCCAGGAAGTCCCCAAGCAGCCCCCAAGACGGCCCCAAGGCCCAGAGGTCCCCTAAAACGGCCCACGAGGCGCCGAAGACTGCCCAAGGGGGGCCCAAGATGAGGACTTCGGACGGCTACTCCGAGCCCCCAGCCCCAAGAGGACACCTGAACCGCCAGCGGGTGCCCAGGAACCTCCCAAGAGGCCTCCAACAGGCTCCGAGGAAAGCCCTGGAGACCCCCAAAACGGTCGCCCAGAGACCCCGAAAAGGCTTCACGCGTGGTTGCCTGCCCCCCTTCCCCGCACCCTGAGATCCGACGATGCAGAAAAATTGCAACATAGGAGCACATCGCGACCGGAGACCCAAACCCTATCTTTCTGTGTCATTTTTCGACCCGGATCGATCTATGAGGGTCCGGGGCCCCGAAATTGAGCGAAAACGCCCTTTGTGACAAAAATTGCCGCGTCGTGTCCCACACCGCCGCGGCAAAGCAACAGCTGCAGATCGCACGCCACCCCTCCCTGGCGACGGCGATCTGCAGGGCGGGGCGCGGGGCGGGGCTCGCGATGCGCTCCTGCTCCTCGGTCACCTCTGCGTTCTCGCTCTCCTCGGAGCGCTTCGCCTGCGCGTGGCCACGGCGAGAGCGAGGGAAGCAAAGCTGGCTGGCCGAAACACCGTTACGCCCAGGAACACGGGCGATGCGGCAAGCAATGCACTACAACACATCACAGGGTCACATCCTCGATCCGAAGTGCGTATACACACAGTAAGTCCTGTGTGCCGTATGACTTCCAAGCTCCACGAACTTCCTTTACGTCCCAAATCGCCATCATCTCGCGGCACGCTTTTTCCCGAAACCTCTCTGCGAGTGCGCATGGGGCCTCGGAGTCCCGCATCCGAGCAACCATGCCCGAGCACGAACACACGAGCACGAACGTGCCCGTGGCGACCCTCCTCCCTCCTCCTCCTCCTCCTCCTCCTCCTCCTCCTCCTCCTCCTCCTCCTCCTCCTCCTCCTCCCCGTGTCCGAGCAGCTGCCCGTCCGCACGCGCGGGCACCCTGGCGCGCAGAGAGAGCGTGACCGCTGGCGCGCGGAGGCACGGCGACCGCGGCGGCGGGCAGGCCTTCTTGTGGACGGCGGGCTTCTCCCCCGGCGCCTGCCGGCGAGGCCCGCCCCGAGCGCGGGCGCGAGGGCCGCCGGCGCGCGGCAGAGACGGCGCGAGCGTGCGGGCGTCGTACATTGGCGCCGGTCCTGGGCGCGGTCCGCGCGCCGTCCTGGCCGGGCCAGGAGGGGCGTGTGCGCCGATGCCGCGCGCGCAGGGTGAGCCTGGCAAGGACTTTGTGCCAGTGTGTGCAGGTGGCGTGCCCCGATCGGACGGGGGCATGGCGGGATGGAGGCGCTCTCCGTTGGGGAGGGGCTGTGGGGGTCAGTTCTTTGGGGTCAGTTCTGTGGGGAGGGAGCGATATGGGGCATAGACGTGCCCATGTGTTGGCGGAGACGTATAATATATATATATATATATATATATATATATATATATATGTGTATGCCAAAGGTCGGGGCGGTGATATCGACAGAAGGACCCCCTCGGGGAAATTGGTTTCGGGTTCGGCTCGTGCCGTGCGGGCGAGCCAAAGCTGCGCGAGACCTTGCCCTAGCTATGCACATCTCTTGTCAGATTACTCGCTCCTGGCCGCCGCGGTTGGGCCTGGGTTACCCCGCCGCTGTCGTGCGGTTGTTGCGTGGTTGTCCCCTGGTAAGGTTTCTGTCCTCCCCCAACCCTCCCTGGAGATCTCGACCCCCTCCAGTCGGGGTGTGTACACATGGTCTGCTGTGGCCCCAGGCTGCTCCAAGATTGCACCAGGCAGTGCACGATGGCCCGCTTGATGGCCCGATGCATGGATCTTAGGTGTTTCAAGATGGCTCCACAATGGTTCTTGGAGGTTGCCAGGGCCTTCCCGGGATATCACTGGGAGGACCACGTCCTTACTTGGGTCCCCGCAGGCCCCCCAGAAGCACAACAATAGAGCCTCAAGACGGCTCGAGGAAATGACTGGTCGGTCACCACGTGCGGGGGATCCTTGAGGACCATTATCATTTTGCACAGTGGTGTTGTAGAGCTCGGGGCCCTGAATTTTCTCCGCTCGTGGTTCGCCCGCTTCCCCCGTGGGTCCCAGCCCTCTGGCCCGAGCCCTTTTATTTTCGTGGCCCGCGGTTCGTCCGCCTCCCCAGACTCCCCAGTGCCCCTCCCCTGGCCGCCTCCGAGCTCCCCGGCCCTATGCCTTCAGTCCGAGCAATTTGTTTTTCGGGGTTCGTGGTTCATCCGCCTCCCCTGTGGCCCCAGGCGAAACAGCCTCTCAAACAGCATTGCTTCGTTCAGCAAGCAAGAAGAAAATTCGTTTTGCACGCGCACGCTTGCTGGTATCATAAGACTATAGCTTGTTTTGCACTCCTGACAACTAGGACCATGCGGGCCGCGCGCGCATGTCGAAAGTGGGGGGACGCAAATGGGGGGAAACGCCTTTCCCAAACGAGGCAATTGGAGGCGAACGCCCTTCTCACATATGGTACGCTGCTCGACTTGAACGATCTATCTCAGACGGCGGCTCTCCCATGCTTGCGGCGAGCTCCTAGCGAGGCCACAAGGATGCACCACGAACGCCCCGCGCGGCAGTCTCCCGAGCAGAGGGTTCTGATGCGCAGTACCGGCGGCGGCCAAAAGCTGCAATGCATGAGCGTGTCTCTAAAGTGAACTTGAACTACCCCTGTGGGTGCAGAAGTGGCTCGGGAATTTAACTAAAGGGACCCAGTGCTGATGCTGCGCTACACCAAATGAAAAACAAATCCCCCCAAACAAAAACACACGCTTTTGGCGGGGCACGGCGGCCGCGCGCACGCGGCCTGGGTGTCGCCGCACAACCCCTCGGGGTCTGACGTCACATGCTTCGCGCGCGCTGCTTCCACTGCGCAGTGCACCGCTGGCGCAGACGCCGCGCCGAACGTGTGCAAAGAGGTGCACGGCAACACAGGGCCCCTCACGGGCCTCTCGACTGTGCCACCGGTGCTGCTTTCTACACCCACTGTTTGTAGACCGCCCCGTTACCACTCACCCGAGCCTCCTCCTCCTCCTCCTCCTCCTCCTCCTCCTCCTCTTCCTCCTCCTCCTCCCCCCAGATTCTCAAATCTCCCGGGGCTTGGCGCACTCCCCCTGGGCCTTGGATCGTCTCCTCGCGTGACCTGTTCGGGCCGAAGAGGGCGCCAAGACAGGCGCAGAGTCGCCGCACGATCGCCCCAAGACGCCCAAGATGGCCTGGAGATGGCCAAGAGGCCTCTAAGACGCCCCACGAGGCGTCCAAGAGGCCTCCCAAGAGAGCCCGCAGAGGCTCATCTTTTTTTTTTGTAAAAAGAATTTGAAAGATTTTAGCGTTTTCGCCTTTTCGGCTTCCCGACGCTGCCAGGCGGCCCTAGAGGCCCTCAAGCTCGCCCAAAGAAGGCCTAAGAGGCGCCCAAGATGGCCCAAGAGGTCCCAACGACGGCTCCAAGAGAAGTCCCCAAGAGGCCCCCAAGCCCCAAGAGTCCTCCAAGAGGCCCCAAGAATCCCCCAAGATGCCCCCAGGAGGCCTTCAAGAGGATCCAAAGCTGCTCCCAGGAGGTCCCCGAGAGAGCTCCGAAGAGACCCCCAAAATCTCCCTGAGAACGCTGACCCACAGCCCAGGCACTGTAGCGGCATGGGCCGAAGGCCATTCGGTAACCAAACGTACATGAACACCCTCACACGCTCTTCAACAACAATTATGTCAGACTTGCTGGATTCCGTTGCGCGACCTTCCTCATCATCCTCATCAACACAATCATAATTATCTTTGCCAGCGTCATCATTGCCACCGTCATCATCGTCACCATCACGACCACCATCACCATCGTCATCGTCACTGTCCTCACCGTCGTCATGAATCTGATCATAGTCATTGTCATCGTCGCTGCCTTCGCCCTTTTCATCAGAGCCACCATCATCACGCGGCGCCCGCCCGAGCCATGGATCTGCAAAGGAAGGCTTCTCGCGCCACTGCGCCAGGTGAGTCTCGTCAACAAGTTGCAGGTGGATGAGTTGATGGGATAGATGCCGACTGCAACATTGCCAAACAGAATTGCGCTGCGCAGATTGCACCCCACAGTCTGCACTGCATAGGTTGGGCTGCATCCACAGCTTGCACTACGCAGCTAGCTGGAACCACGCAGCCACATTGCACCACGCGGATTGTGCCACGTTTCTTGCACAACATAGCTTTCATCATATGGAATGCACCTTGGGGTCCGCGCTTGCAAGCATTCATTTTGTAGGACATGTGTCTCGCCAGGAAGTGCAGGCTGCACCCTGTAATCGTACCCGCGCTCTTGGGTTACTGTAGTTTCAACACGTTGCTGCGAATCTTCTTTGAAAGCAGGGAGGCCCACACCCTTACAAAAACTACCTTCTGGCCCCCAGATGGATCAGGGCCACACCCCCTGGTGCCGGTTTGGCCATCCTCTGCTGGCGCGTCTGCGGCGCTGACATCCCTGGTTACATGCATACACACGACGCGGCAGAATCCGAAGGGGAGCTATTTCGAACTCAACGTGACGTGGATACGCTGAGTTGGTAGACGCTGCGCAGCAGCCCTGGCAGACCCAGCCAGCGAGGCGCCAGAGCCGCCAAGAACTCGTCATCGCTTTTCTCTTCCTTGTCCGTCTCCTGGCAGAGCCACAAAGGGAGCAATAGCAGTAGGGGAGCAGCGGCGTAAAGAACTGAATCGCACAGGGTGGGGCGACCTAGCGCAGGCAATGCACAGAAACATCGTGGAGGCCCTCATGTGTGTCATTTGCTGTTCTCGTGATCATGCTCGAGTGCGCTGGCGTTCCTTCTGCTTCGTGTCAAGTTAGCAGAACCACGACTACAAACTTGGGCACCTGGTCTCTCAGGCCGCGATACCGATGGCGATGGACATTTGCCCATGAACACTGGATAAGTGAACTGACCGTGCGATCTGATCAAACTTTCCGATGGTCAGCTTAGCAATTGCGATCCGAGCGCGCCGTGGACTCGTTCGATCAGGCGGCCAGCGAGCTCCTCCTAACGATGCTGCTTCGACTCCTGCGTCTCTCACTATGCCTAATCGTGGTGATCCTTGTGTCCGTGTCCCCACTTCTGATCCTATTTCGTCTCATCCGTCTTCAACTCTCCTGCAACCCCCACTCTCGCGTTCCGTCCCCATTCTCCTCATCCGCCTCTCCTTGCAAATCGCCTTCGTACTCCTCCTTCCTCTTCCGCCTCCTCTCCTTCTCGGGGAGACGTGAAGGCGGGGCCGGAGGTGAGGTTACAAGAAGATCGCTCGCCCCTGGAAGCAAGAAATCCGTCGACCCTCGCTTGCCGGTGGTCAAAAGGCGTGTGAAACATTTTGGCTGTCCCCCTTCCCCTTCCCCCTGCCCTGGGGTCCAAACTCTAATTGAGTGGAGGGGGGCAACGGGGGGGGGTACGAGCTGCTCAGCGGACCTCGGGGGCCCCCAGAGCCTCCAAATCCACTCTCCGAGACCGCTAAGATATTCAGTATGCCTTCTAAGATGGCTCTGCAGGGCTCCAACACGCTGGAGAGGCATCAAGAACACTCAAGATGGCCTCAAGACGGCGGCCCGAGACGCCCCCGAGCCCCGAGAGGACCCCGAGAGGATCTTCAGGGGGGCCTCAAAAGGCACAAATCATTGCTTCCTCATGTTGCATCCTCAGGAGACCTTAGCTGTCCCGTCGCGGCCCTATCCGCGTCGAATCCGTGTCGAATCCATGTCGGACTCGTCGGACCCCGTGTCGAATCCGTGTCGAATCCGCGCCAGATCCACGCCAAGTCCGCGTCGAGTCCGCATCGAGCCCGCGTCAGGCACAATAAAAGACCCCAGTTGGAGGACAAAAGACACCACAAGTTTGGAGGATAGGCGAGGTCCCCCGAAGATGCAAAGCAATTGTCCCCTATGCGATTTTTGCTGATTTTCGCGCTCTCGCCTTTCAAGACGTCCAGTGAGGCCCCCCAGACCAGCCCCAAGTGGCCCAAGAAGCCTCCCCGCGGGCCCGGAGACGGCCCAAGAGGTGCCGCGCTGGGTGCACAGCAGCAGGAAGCCTGCGTCCTGTCTGCTGAAAATGTAAAAGAACAATTAGCCCGCTGCCTGATAATGGCAGCGGGGAGCTGGCCGGGCTAAGAGCGAACAAGAGGGGCCGCTACCCAGACAAATGGCCCCGGGAGGGCCGCGGAGGCGTGCAGCGGCGGAGCCAGCCGCTGCACGCCTCAAGATAGCCTGTAAGATAGCCCTAAGAAGGGGGGAACTCACAAGGAGCACGGGAGCCTTCCTTCACATAATGGTTCCCAAGACCCCCAACATGCTCCCCAGACACCCCGAAGAGGAGCCCAAAAAGCCTCCCGAGGACCCCCAAAAGCTTCCAGGAGCCTTGAAGAGGCTCCAAGATGCCATCCCTCAGGCCTCCAAGCTGCCCCTAAGAAGCTGTGCAACAGACGCGGAGAAAGAAGAGGATGAATCAGCAACGGCTGCGCGCAGGCAGAGCGACGGGAAGCGGCACACACCACATACGAACTCTGAAGCCGCACCCCTGTTCTGGAGGTCGGCGGCGTGACGTAAGCCTCCCTGGGCTCCCTCTCTGATTCATTTGTTTTGCGATGTGGTCAGAGAGCCCAGGCATCTCTATGTCCTCCACAGCCCAATCTGCGTGAGCAGCTGCGCCACAAGAGGGCATCGCTAGATCTCCAGGCTTGTGTTTGTTTGTGTTGTGTTGCTCCTCCCATGTTATGCACGGCAAGAACTCACCGGCGACTGACAACTGCTATGGCGCCACGGCGTAACAAAGCACGGACGTCCCGACGAAGCAGCATGAGCCGTGCCTCCAACTTCTTCATTTTATGTATGGTGTCTATGCGAATTAGCTCGTCTTGTAAGCCCTCTGTAGCAACACCCCTGCGAACATAATGCCTTATCTGATCCCTTACACGCCTGAGCTGCTTGACTCTCGCGCACCCTGCAACATCACATAACTTGTGCCGTGATTGGTTTCCTTTCAGCTGGGACAGCTCTTCACGCACATCAGTCATATTCTCGCCGCACAAGTTGAGGACAATCATCGCCTGCCGCCTCTTGACGAGTAGGCCTGCGCACAACAAGCGCTCCAGCACAATCTTAGATGACGCCGTTTTGTAAATGCCAAGCGTATAATAAGCAGACCTAGTTTGCCGGATGGTAACGCTCACATGTGGAAATGTACATTGTATCAATGACCGTGCCGACTCCAAAACCTCTTTGAACTTTTGCCCAATGCACAGCGAAACCCGCGCGCTCTGGACAACAATGCACCCTTCTGCGTCAAAGAAACCTGCTAAGTAAGTCCAACTGATCACCTGAACGTGCTCAGGGGCTTCACGTTTCAAGGATCGCAAACGCAATGCCAACCGTGAGCGCTCTTGAAGGCAAGATGGCTTCTCCACCATCGCAAGGCGAAACTGATCGCGCTTGCAATATGATGCACCTGAGAGCGTGGAGATCGCGGCTCTGCAATTTGCCCCATACGCGGTCCAAACCAATATGGCTTGAAATCGGCCTCGCGCCGCCCTCCCATGGCGTATGCTCCCACCAAATATGCGCGCGAACCGAAGCAACACTTCAACATTCGAGGCAAGCTGAGCTATGTTGAGCGCCAAGTTCCCGAATGTTTTATTCGAATACACACTACCATCTCCGTCAAAGAAACCAGCGCAATACTCTAGATCTTCATGCGATGGCCTGCTGATGTCATCCAAAGGGGCATCAAAACGGAACGGCAAGACGAATACGCGTCCCTCTGCCACAAAACTTCGCTCCACTGGACACTCCAACCGCTTCAGAAATGATGATACACGTTGGCAACGACGTTCGAGCTGACGCTGCGACAAATGACTCGAACGCACCCATGCTGTACAAGCGCACGTGCGAACTCCTGTGATAAATTCGCCAGTTGGAAATCGCAGTGGCTTTGACAGCCCGCGCGAACAGTGCCGCCCCTCGGCCAACGGCACGTGAGCTGCCCTGCGAAGGGCATACCAAGGCATGCTCCCTGCAGCATCGCCTGCAGATTGCTCGTTCACGAGGATGGCCGCCACTGAGCAGAGGTGCGGCTTCTCAAAAGCAGGGGCTTGGTGCCGCAACTTCGACAGACAAGGTAAGTGATGAACCAACCAACACTTGAGCCGACATGGCTGCGGCCCCTGATGACAACCAACACTTGAGCCGACATGACTGCGGCCCCTGATGAACCCCACCTCGGGCACAACACCCCTCTACTCTGCGTGCCCACCCTACCTGCTTTCCCTTCCGCCGTCCCTGGAAGCGCAGGGAGCCGGCCGCGGGCATGTCGGCCCTGGTGGCCCAGGGCGCCGCGCGAGACCGAACACAACCTGAGGGGCCGATTCTCCACCACCGCTATCACAGGTAGGAGGAGGGAGGAGGGAGGAGGGAGGAGGGAGGAGGGAGGAGGGAGGAGGAGGGTGAGGAGAGGAGGAGGAGGAGGGGAGGAGGAGGAGGGGAGGGGGAGGAGGGAGGAGGAGGAGGAGGGAGGAGGGAGGAGGAGGAGTAGGAGGAGGAGTAGGAGGAGGACGAGGAGGAAAAGGAGGAGGAGAGGAGAAGGAGGAGGAAAAGGAGGAGGAGCAAGAGGAGGAGGAGGAGGAGGAGGAGGAGGGAGGAGGAGGAAGAGGAGGAGAAGGAAGAGGAGGAGGAGGAGGAGGAGGAGGAGGAGGACCGTAGCCATTTTGGCTCAAGTAAATCATTCTCGAGGTGGCTCAGGAGAACCAAGGCCCCGAGCCACATTTTATTTCCCGCACGATCCACTCGCCTCGAAGGGACATTCAATTGTCCAAGGGAATGCACCGCAGTCATTTCGGCCACTTCCAATTTGTTTTGTTTTGTTCCAGCCCGGGCAGTCTAACAGAAGGGCGCCCACTCAGATGGCACAATGGGCAGCGACATGGAAGTACAAATGCGGGCAGCAGAGCTGGCGCAAGCAGATGAATTTCAGCAAATGCGGAACACATTGGAAGGCGTCGCAGAGTATGTCGGACACGGCTCAGACCAGCAAGCGTCGCCAACGTTCCAACAGCCAGAAGTCGAACACAGCAGACAGCCGGCCATGGGAAGGGGAAGAGAACGACATCAAGGGCCCGCCATTCGTGAGGATGGCAACACCTGCGGAGGCTCAGTCGCACTCAGATTACAAGCCCCTTTCTGCCAAGGCCGACGAGAGCGAGAAGCGAATATACTACAAGGAAGTGAGATCGAAATTGAACCTGTTGCAGCAGAGATACAAGATCGCATGGGCCATGAAGGAGCCCATCCAGGAGATCACCCAGCAGATAGCCATCTTGCGCAGGATGCTCATATCAGAGAAATCATTAGAGCAGCAGAGCGCATGTACAGAGACAACGATTGCCAGAATGATGTTGAGAGTCGACACAGCCAACAAAGCGGTCGGTGGACGCGCAGCAAGAGATCCTGGACAAGAAGATCGCCATTCGAGACAACCTCCAGGACCAGTTAGAGGCGCTCCGCCGCACAAAAACGAGATCCGAGTCATGATTCAAGAATCCCAGCAGGCCGAAGAAGATGCAGCAACGCAAATGGGCCTCGACATGCAGCTCGACCAGGGCAAACAGACGGAGGGCATCGTCACAT